TTCCATTAAGTGGATTGCCATCTTTCTGCACATACAACTTCTTGTGGATTTAAAAGATTATTTTCTCAGAATAGAATCCTAAAAGTGGAATTACTGTCAAAGTATATTAACGTCTTTATGGTTCTTGATACTTGCAAAAATGCTTACCAAAAATGGTTGTACCAATTTAAACTGCCTTCAATAGCAATTCCCATTATACCTGTATTTGGAGTATGAATATCTTGTGAGAATTAACAGTTTCATAATCATCTTTACACCCGCCATGAGGCAGAAGATAGATGGGTCCCAGCCTGAACAGTTTCTCCCCTGTGGACAGAAACTCCATAATAGCAGAAACTCCATAAAAGCAGGATGATGGAGGAGGCTGGGCCCTGCCCAGATAAAAGGCCAAATATTCCTCATTCTTGAAGTCAAGGAGACCTCCCCGACTACACATGCGCAGAAAGGCCCCTTGGAGGTCAAAAAGGGAGGGGGGGGCACCACCGCATAGTAAGTGATGTCAACTAACCATAGGCCTCTTCACTAGAATCCTTCTTGGCTAAGAGATGTGCACGCACACTGGGAAGGACCCTGAGATATAACAAATACAGACTCAGAACCAGGCAAAGCAAGATGACTGGTCAAAGGAAACCCGGAAGAAATGCCCCATAAATGTGATTCAAACTACCACGAGGGCGCGACTCTCTCGCTGAGCCCGCCCGTGTGTCTATCCACACGTACTGTACTCTTTTTCCTCCTAATAAACACTTTACTTGCTTCACTACTTTCCGTCTCTATGTGGAAAGTCGCTTCTACACAGCTGACGGGCCAGGGCCTTGTCACTGGCCACTAGTCCCTGGTGGTCTGGTGGCTAGGATTCAGCGCTCTCACTGCCGCTGCCCAACCTCAATCTCTGGCTGGAAACTGAAATCCTGCTTCAAGCTGCCGCAGGCTGAGGCCACCTGAGATCACCCATACTTTTAAATTTATAAACGTATATACCATAATTATACTAAAAAATTCTTAAAACCGAAATCCTAACACCCAGTGGATGAATGTTTGCTATTCTTGAAACTATGCTTGAGAATCACTCGAGTCTCTTTTTTTCCTGTACCACCCAACCTCAATTATTTTCTACACACAAGTAGGTCTTTAATAGGATAATCTTATACCCCCTTTTAAGGAGTGGTAACCAAAGTCTACATCATATGGAATTTATAAAGTTCAAGGATATTCTCATTCATTTTAATGACTATATAAAAGAAAAGAACAAGGAAATTCATCCCTACCAAGTCTGAAGGCTCCTATAGCTTTGTTAAAAGACATAAAGGAAGTACAAAAACACATTAAAAGAAAAGTGAACATTTCATTCATATGTATTCATTCTATATCTTTTTCAAAAAATCAATTTTTGTTCCCTAAATTACTCAACTATGAATTTCACATGTAACTCAACAATTTACAAATATGCAGATAAGAAATTACAAATACTGTGTACTAGATTGAGATGTGTGCTTCAAATGACATGAATAAACAAAGTCCCCCATATCTTCACTGTACTTCCCAGGGATTCTAATATTATGCACTTAATAATCTTAGCAAACACTTTGTTGTTGTTGCTACTACCTTACTGTTTTTGCAACTGCTATTAAATTTCCTAGTACAAATTGGCTGTAAGATTATTTTAGAACTTCATTAAAAAATTTATATTAAATACGCAATAAGCTACTTTGGTTAACAGAAGTTGAGAGATTATTAGTGTCACAGTTTATTATTATAAGTAATTTTTGTGTCTTCTGTCAGTATAACCACAGTATCTCAATACTACCAGCTGATAATAATCTTTATAAATCCTACTTTGCAGCTATACCATCTGTTAGTTATTATTTTATACGTCTCCATATGCATATGTGAATTAGCTGTCATTCAAAACAAATATACAAATGGAATTGTGGTTTTGTGGGGAGTTTTTTATTGGCTTGTTTTTGTATTTTGTTATCTTTAGGCTAGTGAACTAAATAAATAAACATATTCCTATATCTTTGAGACCAAAAATAAATGCAAATTTCAGTTATACAAACTTCCAGTTATAAGTCATGAGAATGTAATGTACAGCATGGGGAATACAGTCAATAATACTGTATTAACTTTGTATAGTGACAGATGGTTAACTAGACTTATTGTGGTGATCATTTTGCAATGCATACAAATGTTGAATCACTATGTTGTATACATGAAACTAATATAATATTGTATGTCAAATATATTTCAATAAAATAAAGAGGCTAACAAAAATGCAAATTTAAAAATACTTTTTGTAGTACAAATAAAAGAAATTTAAGTTCAACAAACAATCTAAAAGTATCTGCTAAAACTGGTTAAAATTAATAGTCACCAAAATTGGATATAATTATATTAAAAAACTGATATTTCCATATTCATAGCTCTCAAAGTACACCTACAGACCAAAAAGCAATAGGTCCACTAGTAAATTAGTAGCTATTATGGTTCCAGTTTTCACAATATAAAACACTTTCCACGACTGAAGATTAGAAAATAATGACTACTTACTTAATGACTACTTACTTCAGGGAATTAATGTTAATTCCCTGAAGAGATGAATCATAATGACAAAAATTCAAAACCAGGTCCCCCATTAATCTGTGGGTTTATCCCCATGAGCTGTAAATAACCAGGCTCCTACAGTAGCAGAGAGCAATAAGTAGTTGTAATGTCATTACAACTCACTACCAAAATTTACCCAGAAAGCAACAAGAAAAAAAGAAGGAAAAGAAGGAAGATAAACTTACAATTGGATAATTAGTTCCAGATTATCAATTTTTCCCCAAGTACTAGAGTCTAATGACTTTAATAAGCCCAAACACGGTTTACAGGAGCTTTATACACTACACACCAAAAACATGGTGAATTCTGTTAAGAGTTACCAATGGCAATTAAAACATGAGACGAAAGCACAGCCTGGGAGAAACCACATTTGATGACTAAATAGTTCATTGTTTCCTTAAGTTACCCTATTTTAGGTAATGATACTTTAGGATCATATACAGGGAAAGCTAAGGTACAAACAGTAGTAAATAATTAAAGTCATCATTAATAGAAACCCTGAAATATTTAGAGAGGGGGATTAAAGAAGAGAAAAATGTACTTAAGAAGTTATGATTTCCTGGAATGAATGCTATATTATTTTCAGTTTCTTGAAGTAAAAAGTCCCACTAATTACTTATACAAAAAAAATGCTGCTTTTCATAGAGTCTTTTGTGTATTAAAATAAGTTATACTCCAACTTTGTAAAATTTAACTTATTTGATGCCCAAACCAGATCTCCTTTCTTTCAAATTGTATTTCATCTAGATGTTAGAATTTCCATGATGTCTGTGAGACAGCTGTACTTGGAGAGGCAACACAGTTTTGAAGTATACTTGGGCTATAAAGTATAAGGGAAAACATCATAGACTACTTAACAAAAAATATATATACATTTTTAACATGTTTATTGGAGTATAAATAATAATCAACACAATGGTGTGTTAGTTTCTGCTGTATAACAAAGTGAATCAGCTACATGTATACATATATCCCCATATCTCCTCCCTCTTGCATCTCCCTCCCTCCCTCCCTATCCCACCCCTCTAGGTGGTCACAAAACACCGAGCTGATCTCCCTGTGCTATGAGGCTGCTTCCCACTAGCTATCTATAACAAAATATTTTAACTGTCATTAAAACTACAGTATAGCACAGGCCAGGTTCCATTCATTTTTTAAAATATTTTATTACCTGTCATTGAGATCCATGTGGGGAAAGTAGTTTCATACCATGATTTGCTTCTGTATGTCTAAAATGTTTTTAATGAGGGATTTCATTTCACAGGAATTTATATTAATCATATAAAATTAATTGTATAAATAGTAAAAAAAAATTTTTTCATGGTTTAAAGCTCACCTAATACATGAAGCCTTGCTTGATTCTCCCTAATGATATTTCTTCCTCCACTAAAGTCTCAGTTATCTTTGTAGTTATGGAATTTAAGAAACTTATTTATTCCACTTTATATTATATATATATATATTTATATTATATTTTCTAATTTTCATGAATAGATTGAGAATGTCAGCTTCTATAAGTTAGAATCACGGAGTCTTACATATCTTCATATCCTCTCTGCCCCATGTCCAACAATTCCTCGAAAATAGTAGGCAATCTACATGTTTATCTGAATTCACCAAAAAAACTTTTTGGGGATACTAAAATCTACCTTCTCCAAAGGGTCTCTAGAAAAACAACTTATGTTTTGGTAATTAAGAGTGTTATTTTGAAGCTCTATGGAACCCACACTAACTGACCAAATATGTTTTCGTTATAAATAATATTTCAATATGTAGCCATTAAAAATGAAAATAATGAGACTTTCCTATTAGGTACAATAGTTACAACGTTTTAATCAGATGCATGTCTTTCAAAAAATCAATTGAAATCATTATACTTTGCCTTGCTAATGTACTGAGTTAAAAAATAATCTAAATTAACAGATTTTTTTTTATGGGTAACTCCTAAGAAATATAAGAAAAACATTTTTTTTCACAGTGAGAAAAAAATAACTGTGTGTTGATAATGTAAGATGGAAAACAGAACTAAATGAAAAGATTTACTCATAAGACAGCATTTGCAGAAGACCACTTATTATTCATGTATCCATCTAGAAATCATTGACTGGGCACCTATGTCACATCATATATGTCTGTGCAGAGGCTGTAAAGGTAAAGAAGGTGGAGTCTACACCTTCCAGGAACTCACACTATAGTGAAGTCATAAAAGACAACACAAGTAGTAAAAGGACACTGGGGTTATCTCTGGCTGGGACAGCAGGGAAAAGAGTTCACAACGAAGGTGACACTTGAACAGGGCTTTGTGTTTAAGCTTTATTCTGTAGATTTCAAGGCATTTGGGGGCCTGAACTAAAAACAAAACAACCACAACAAAAAACCCTGCTGTTCTTTTTCAGAAAGGGATTTGGGAAAGAAGCTGCTTGTCTAATAACAGTCAAGTGGACAGATGAGGATGGAGTATGAGGAACCAGATTTGGAAGATATTTGAATCAAGAAGAACATCAACATCAAGAATCAACAGGACTTGATGACAGATTTGATAAAGGGGGGCTGAGAAGAATGAGTCAAATGACATTTTTAGGCCTTTAATTTGCCAAGACAGATGATGACATTCAATGAAATCTAGATTATCAGTTAACAGCTGTTTATTGAGCACCTTCTATGTTCCAGACATTATTCTAGACCCACAGTCTATTTTCACTGTAGTCAGGAGAGGCAGACAGTAAACAAGTGGATAATCTGAAATAGTGATAAGCGTGATGGAGAAAATAAAACAGGGTTACGTGAGAGTGACTGGGGGAAGAGACACTTTAGCTGAGGTCCTCACGAAGACTGACACTTGAACTAAGACCTTAATGATAAGGGGGCAGGCAAGTGAGGCTCCAGTAAAGAAGGGGTAGAAAATGAAAAGGCTGAGCTAGGAAAGAGCTTAACATGATCAAGGGACAGAAAGGTAGCTGGTGGACGGGGATGGGGTTTGGGGTATGAAGAGAAATGAAGTCTGAGAGCACATGGAGCACCTTGTAGCCCACTGTAAAGAACTTAGCAGTGATTCCAGTTACAGTGGGCAGCCAGCATGTTTGAAGCCAAGGAGTGATGTGATCTGATTCAATTTTTGCGGGCTGTGAAGAGAACGGACTTAAGGGGGAAGAATGGAGGCAGAGAGTCTGGGCGAAAGTGGTGGCTTAAATTCCTAGCAGTGCCCATGTTGAGAAGGGGTTAGAGTCTGGATATGGAGAGGGAGAGGTGATAGGACTTACGGGTGGAACTGCATGTAGACTGTGAGGGAAAGAAAGGAACCAGGGGTACCTCAGGGGGTGTGATTCTAAACCACTATATAAAGGGTGGTGTTATTAAACAGTGATGGTGAAAACTTGAGCAGAGAGAAGCTTCAGGGTGGTGGGGTCAGAAATCAATAGTTCTTCTTTGCTCAAGTAAAGGCTGAACTGTTTAGAAACTTGTAAGTGAAACGGCAGGTAGACAGCTGGATACAGTCTACAGCTCTGGGGTGAGGTCTATGTGGAGATATACTTTGGGAGTCATCAGACTCTTCAAAGATTTTAAAACCATGAGACTATATAAGACTCATCTTGACCCATGAAACATGAAGCAATGTTTGTGGTTTTAGATTTTTAAAGCAAGGAATAATAAATTCCATTTTGGACACTTCAGGTGGGGATAAGTGATTAGTTGGCTTTTCTGTGGTGAATCACACTAGCCTCTAAAAGTATTTTAGTATTACCCTCTTGTACTGACTTAACCCTGTCATCTCCTTTGGAGTCTCCCTATTTCATTTCTGCTACATCAGTAAGCTCTTTGAGAGCAAACGGTGTCTTCCCAATCCCCAGCAACTATTCAGAGAGAAGGCACTTTTATCTGTTATACCATGAGTATAAAAATCCAGTCTTAATGGTTAAGAATTGAAGGAAGTAGCACAATAATGAGCTAGTTTCAAATCTCTGAGGATCTATTCTCAAAAGTTTCTTTCCTTCAAAATTAATCTTGGAATTCTTCCTATCAATAAATCGACTTCGAAAAATAATTGAGTTCCGCAGACATTTCCACTGAATCACATACATAACTAAGCAGTTAAATTCAAGTAATCACGGATGATTTCTAAACCATCTTGGTGGTTCTTTCCTAAAGCTCAAATATATCAACCTTTATTTCCTATCAAAGATGCTACTTATATTCAGTACTCAATAAATATTTGAATACATAAAAGAGATCAAGATGCTTCAACATATAGACAGGAAATTTTTCTTTGTCCTTGTATCTTTTTTCTCAGTACTATATACTCAGCCCCTTGCACAGTGCATTGAATACAGTCAGTGCTTAATAAATATTTGTTGCATGCATTAATAAAAAAAACAATGCACAGTTTTATGGGAAAGATGGCTCTTTTCTTCTTCTACATCAATTTACTTCCCATGTAACTTCTTTAAATGTTTTTCTCTTGATTATAAAATATTTACTCACTGTGGAAAATATAAATACAAAAAAATCTCTCTTCTGGGCTTCCCTGGTGGCGCAGCGGTTGAGAGTCCGCCTGCCGATGCAGGGGATACGGGTTCGTGCCCCGGTCCGGAAAGATCCCACATGTCACGGAGCACCTGGGCCCGTGAACCATGGCCGCTGAGCCTGCGCGTCCAGAGCCTGTGCTCCACAACGGGAGAGGCCACAGCAGTGAGAGGCCCGCGTACCGAAAAAAAAAAAAATCTCTCTTCTTAAGATGAATATTACTCTCTATTTATAACTCATGATTGTATTCATTCATTCATTTAACAAATATTTTTGACTTCCTGTTCTGTGCTAGGCTTTGCGGATACGGTGATGAATCAAACAGGTCAGGTTCCCTGATGTCACTCCAGTGGTATGCAATACCCTCACGTTCTACATGTAGAATATAAGTAGAGGTCTGTCACCACATAGAAGGTTTCAAAATCCAAGGATATCTCTTCCACTCTAATAGTTACCATTCCCCCAGAATCTTAAAAATGACTATTTCAGTGATTAAATAAGGTTAGTATGTTTCTACACAGAATATGAAAGTATGTGAACTACACTTTCACGTACCCACAAAGAGCAAATAATTTTCTCAGGTGGAAAAGAACAAAGGCCTTAGTCTTTTTACCAAACAATGTCAAGGAGTGTACTTTGATGGTGGAAATGCTAATGTAGGACAGTTCTGAATAAGTTATTTTCAAACCTTTCTCTATAGGTTCATATATTACCTATTTATTCAAATGTAATAGAAAATAATCTCTCAAGTAAAAATAATTCAAATGTTTTAACTTCAGTGTTCTATTCCTCTATTTCCAACAGAGTTTCCATTAGCAGCACTGGGAAAAGCTTAGCACTTAGGAAGTCACTCCTGCCTGCCATACCCTGATTTTCAGCAGATCACCTGTTCTCCTGATACCTAGGCACCTATTTGCATAGCAAGAGTGGAAGTTACTATTTATCCTCAGAGGTGTACATAATCACATTGACTTATTCGGTTTTACCCCAAAAGGACTCATTGAGTTTCACTTACCTCCAAAGTCTCATTGCCTTCAATGTCTGAAGTTTTGCCTCTTGCTGCCACTCTTTGCTCATGAGGTGTATCTCCTATGAAGCAAAAGAAAAAAATAAAACTTTACCATACCACTGTGGCCAAACTGTCTACTATTTATTTGAAATATCTTTTGCATGTTTCACACTGTGGAAGCAATTACTACTTCCTTTGTTACAAAGTAAACAAGTTAATATTTAAGAACAGTAATTTTATAAAGGTCACAGAAATCAACTGTAAATACATAGGTATACAATCTAAACCAGAAATGTATCCTGCTTTATATAGCTTTACTCTGGAAAAATCAAGTGAATTTATATTTTGTAAATCAAGTCATACTTCAAATAAACTAGGAAAACTTATAATTTGAAGATAAAGCAAATTATTTTCAAACATTAAAAGTCTTGGGGCTTCCCTGGTGGCACAGTGGTTGAGAGTCCGCCTGCTGATGCAGGGGACATGGGTTCGTGCCCCGGTCTGGGAAGATCCCACGTGCCGCGGAGCGGCTGGGCCTGTGAGCCATGGCCGCTGAGCCTGCGCGTCCGGAGCCTGTGCTCTGCAGCGGGAGAGGCCACAACAGTGAGAGGCCCGCGTACCGCAAAAAAAAAAAAAAAAGTCTTAAAAAAAAAAGTCTTTATAATATGAATAACTGTCCTTCAAATTTGTTTTTTAATAAGGTTTACTCTTTATAAGTGTTTATTTGTGTCTCTGTGGATTTGCCTCAGAGTAGCTATATATGTTTGCATGTAGTAATTAACCATATGTCAAACAATTTTTACAGCAGGAAAGAACAATAAACAAATTCATAAATTAGCATTCAGTTAATAGTTTGATTCCTAAAGGTGGTGCCTGGGAGGGTTATATTACTAATCAAAGTTGGTGACTAGGCTGCCTCTAAGGACATAGGACAGACAGAAATATAGTTAGGTAAGTACAGGCATAATTTAATGTATTAGTGTCCTATTATAATTTATTAACTAATAATCTGTGATTAACATATGGTAGGTAAAGAAACAATCAGCGTACTTCTTAAAAGCACAATGAGAGGTTAATTTAGTAATTTGTAAACTGCTCTTCCCATAAAATTAAGCCAGCTCAGGAATGTCTACAACAGGGAAGATTACAAAATTCATATATAATGACTTGGCTGACACTAAAGGTTAGGAATTTGTTAACATAGGGAAGGTCACAGTCTTCACTGGAGGTAACAAAGTATGAAAGTCTGGGCTGGGCTTAACTTTTCCACAGTGAAACACAAAAGTTTAGTTTACCAATGGCTGTAGTCAAGAAAGGGGCCTGTGAAAATTTTAAAGAATTAAATAAAATTCTGTTAAATTCTAAAACCATAAAGCAAGAATTAAGTTGGTAGTTTATTTACTTAAAAATAAAGGAAATCCCCCAAATGTTTAAAATCCAAGCACATCATGCATATTCCAGCCTACAAGTTGTGTTCTCAGCTAAGTACAGCATTATTACTAGTGGGCAGAACCCAGCACATAGTAGGTGTTCCATAAAAGCTGAGTAAATTAGTGAACTTCTATTTATAGTTTCTAGTCTATAAAACTGATAATACTAAATGGTATGTAATAAAAGTTTTATTTGAGCATACGGTTAGTGTTTTTCCTCTAAAACACATTTGTGAAACTTAAAAGGCAAATTTATTAAATACCATTATGATGTATTGTTATTAGTGATCTGTACTTGAAGCATAACTTGTTAGATTTTAAAAACAGTTAATGGGGCTTCCCTGGTGGCGCAGTGCTTGAGAGTCCGCCTGCCGATGCAGGGGACACGGGTTCGTGCCCCGGTCCGGAAGGATCCCACATGCCGCGGAGCGGCTGGGCCTGCGTGTCCGGAGGCTGTGCTCCGCAGCAGGAGAGGCCACAACAGTGAGAGGCCCACGTACCGCAAAAAAACAAACAAACAAAAAACAAGTTAATGATTTTTTAAAAGAATCATACTGAAACAAAAGCATTAGGAACTTTTTTTTTTTTTTTTTTTGCGGGCCTCTCACTGTTGTGGCCTCTCCCGCTGCGGAGCACAGGCTCCGGATGCACAGGCTCAGCGGCCCTGGCTCACAGGCAAAGCCGCTCCGCGGCATGTGGGATCTTCCCGGACCGGGGCACGAACCCGTGTCCCCTAGCATCGGCAGGCAGACTCTCAACCACTGCGCCACCAGGGAAGCCCAGGAACTTTTAAATTACATCTATAGTATAATAGAGGTAATAGTTGTTAAGTGAAAAATTATGTCAACTTACGTTCATGACCCAGGATGTCAAACAACAATTTCGATTTTTTAAACTTATTGTTTAAACTGACCATTTATTTGCACATCAGGAAGAACCTTATTTTCAGAAATCCCCCTTGTCTCTGAAAGTTAGGGATAAGCTAATCAACCCCCAGTTCACAGATGGCAAAACCAATGCACAAGTTGTTTAGTTTGCTTGGGTAAAGGCAATGAGACCACTGAGACCACAACAGCATGAGCAGACAAGGTAATGCAAGTCTCTGTATATTGACGTCAGGTGTGTTTAATAACTCACATGCCTGAGGCTGATACGGAAGTATGTGACATTCAATATGAAAGGTCATTTACTCAAGAAAGATTTTTTTTTCACCTTTTAAAATGATTATTGGGCCATCCCCTAGCCATACAAACACTATTTGGCTGAAATCATTCAGCACAAAGTCTGTGCTTCCTTTGCCAGTTTCTAATTCCAAGGTGTGTATCTGTACCACACTTTCTCCATTTCTCCCTACTGCCTGAATAACCAGAAAGGTTATCAGCCAGTGCTCTTGACATCACACAACACATCTGCCTGGAAGCAACTGTACAATCACTATTTCCTGGAATGCCATATCTGGCGATGACTCAGGGCAATAGCTGATTACAAGGAAAAATGCCATCTGCGAGATGATTATAAACAAAGGCACAAACTGAAAACTACACAAACAACAAACAGAAAAGAACAGGTCACAGTGAAATATAACTTTTGAAGTTTTTTTCCTCCCACTGAAGAATTATTTGATCATGGTAAAAATTCAATTATTTTCTCTAACTTGTTATAACCCACATGAAAGTTAGATACTTCAACAATAAAGATGCATGTGATGAACGTGAAATAAGGTACTTTAGTTTTGAGACATCAGTTAATTCTAACTTATGTGCTGTATAGATTCAAAAATTTCATTTGCAAGTCAGCTGTTTAAAAGGAAGGACAAAAACAACAAAATAGATGCAAACTATTACATGTAGAATGGATAAACAACAAGATTCTACTGCATAGCATAGGGAACTATATCCAATCTCCTGGGACAAACTATAATGGAAAAGAATACAAAAAAAGAATGTCTATATGTGTATAACTGAGTCACTTTGCTGTACAGCAGAGATTGGCATATTGTAAATCAACTATACTTCGATAAAAAAATGAAAAGAAACAATAAAAATGTTCACAGTATTTACGTTTCATAATGTCTTGTTTATAACACCACAATTGATTCTCACTACGGCACAGCAAGACATCCTCCCCATTTCCCTCCTTCCACAGTTTACTGATGGCAGAGGTACTCAAGGACTCACCTAAAGTCTCCCAGGTAGAAGTCAGCCATAGTGGGAGCAGAGCCCAGTCTCCTGACATATCTGGGGGGGACTGTGTGGTCCGGTGGAAGGCTCCAACAGATGGTGGCTGAGGTGGGGAGAATCGAGCTCCTAAACTGGGGATCAGTGCGAAGAAGAGCCCAGGGCTCTGAAACCTGGTCCAACCCCACGGGCCCCCGTAACACTTCTCTCTACTCCATTTTTCTTCCACAGGCTCCATGGGTTATCTGGTCTCTTCCCTTTCCGCTGATAATGCCAAATACTCCTGATCAGAACAAGCCTCTGTCCTTCCTTCTGGTCCTTCAAGGCACACACACGGTCCCCTTGATACTTTCCCATAAGTTTGAAAGGCTGGAAA